AGGCAAAGAATTATGTGTTTGATATGTATGTTTTTGTGCCGGACATCCCTTAAAGTTAATGAATATCAAAAGTGCCGCTTCCAGCATTTAAGCTATCTCATATTTTGACTTTGTGCAACATAAGTACATGTTTTTGTTTTGTCTGTACATTGCTGGAATACCTTTCTTCCCCTAGGCCTGAATAATAAATTAATGAAGTGTGTATCTGACACACAACAATCGGCTTGTGCTGACACAAAGAAGCCTTTGTGTGAGGTCTGTAACATGATTAGAGTGGTTTTTTGGGTCATCATGAAGAGAAGCAAAGAGTAGAAGGCATAAAACTAGCAGTCAAAACAAACAAAAGAGATTGGAAATGTACTTTTGAACATTTGTAAGCTGAAATTCTCATATGTTCCTGAGCAACAAGTGACTTTGCAGAAAAAGATAATCTGCATGTTCTCATTATCATCAAGGCTTTAAAATCATAGATGGATAAATAGAACATTTCAGTGATCAATTCAAAGAAACAGAATTCAAGCCAGAACTAAAAGCTTTAAAGCTTGTTTACAGCAACAGCAATAAACTTTTGAAAAAATGAAGAAGTTGCCTAGCTAGTTTTGTATAAGTTGCTACTGAAATTGTTTTTCAAGAAAGTCAAATATTTAAACTGGATAAACACCTTAGCTATTAGAAACTCATTAATTGATAGGTTATTAAAAAATGACAGTTCTTTTGCTTTCTTTACAGAACTGCAAGATATCAAGGCCAAGGAATCAGTAAATATAAGAAACTTGCCTCTTCATTAAAATGACCATGTAAAAGGAGATCTTGTTGCTGAATATTGTTATTTTTAGTATTACATCTCAGGAAAAAAAAAAAAAATCACTGTCAATGACCAACATTTATTCAAGATGAGGAGTTACAAATTGGATTACATCTTCCTTAGTAGTGCAATGACTTCATGGATTTCCTTATAAATGATAGTAATGAATTGAACAGCAAATGGAATAGTGAGCTTCTAAACTATGCTATGAAATCATAATATGTAGGTCCCGTGTTTAGTTATCTTTATTAAATCTACTGCTGTCTGAACCATTCCTGTTACATTTCTCTCAGAGAATAAAACAGAATCTGATTGGGTTACTCTTACCTGTATTTAGATACCTGAAAATGAGCTATTTAGTTGAAGGTGGCCACATAGGTCTCTTGTAGTTAATGAAAGAGAGAAATAGCTTCATTTAAGGATTCATCCTAATGATGATAGATAGTTTAGGCTGTGGTGACTTTCTCCTTGGAGGTCCACTCTCCTCCCGTGACAAGGAGGAACACTGATGGTGAATTTATACTGAAATCTTAACTTCCAGATGCCTAAGTGAGATGAATTCCACTTCGTATATGCAGAATCTGCACTCCACTTTCTATGAGGAAAGCACAGCTTAATGAAAGATAGTTCCTAGTATTAGCATCTTCTTGCATCCTGAAAACAAGTCTTTAATAATTGTTATGCTGTGATTGACACACTGAAGCTTCATTTTTGTTTGGCACTACCTGAATTAACTATGATTAAAGAATTATACAATAAATTTTAGTTAAAAGGTCCATGGTAAGCCACATCTGTTTACCATTTTATATTAGAAGATAATAAGGAACACTTTTGATTTTTTAGATTACATTAGAATTCCATGGCACTGTAAGATTATGAATGACTTGTTAATTCTTTTTGATTAAAAAGAAAGATCAAAAATTCAGTGAGGCTACTGAATAAAAATGAAGATAATATATGTTGTGACAAACACATGGAAAAAATAATGAAAGAATTTGCACTTTACAGTTCTGTTTTGATCCAAGAATTACAGCGATGTTCAGAATTTCTTTTTTTTTCTTCTCTCTTTTGCTGTACAAGGTGACAATATAATTACAAGGTGTATGTTACATATGCTATACATACATATACATATGTGTATATATTTTCATGTATAAGATACTTGAATTCTTTATGTACCTGCATGTGCATACATTACCCATTCCTGCAGTGCTACTACTAGTTTCAGACTTCGATATGTTAAATATGCTGTAGACAAGATAAAGAAAAATCCTTCCCCACAAAGCTCAGTCTAAAATCTGGGTAGACAGGTGTGTTGTAACTGAAAAAATAACAGGGGGTGATAAACAGCTAGAAAATGATTGAAAACAGTAATTTTAAAATGTTATTTTATATCCATATTGCTTGCAGATGTCCTGTAGAGATTGCTTTACAATAAACAATGTATTTCCATCAGA